CAATGTATTGTCCAATTAAGAATCCTACACAAACCCATGTTTAACACAATCCTCTGTAAACATAACATATGTACATGAATTAGTACTCTGTAGCAATTCTGAACAATTAATTTGAATAAAAGCTTTTAAACCTATATTACTAACTTGCTGAATCAAAGTACTGTGATTACTAACATGCATTTCTAAGCATGTGTAATATTATTTTTTTATTAAAGAAAGCTAGAGAGATCTTATGGAAATACATACTAAAAGGAGATTATTTAGTTTGCAAAGTCAAACACAGCAAACATAGGGAATCACAAATTTACAATTCTCCATATTACTTTATTTCTTCTCCATGTTGGTCTGTGCTTTGTGTTATTTCAGACAAGACTCCTATGCCAAAGACACATTATTGCACCAATCAAGACAGATCATTGTGTACACGTAAAATGAATGTCTAGCCAGGGACACCACGGAAATGGATTCCAGTCTGCTACTTGCATATTCAAACGTTCAGCTTGTATATATTATTCTGTCACCCTGCCTGCAATCAATATTCAGCTGCACAATCCACTGTTGTTTCTACACTCCCCTATTTTGATAAGCTACCTCTGAATATCAATTTTCTCTTCCCTGGTTACACAGACCTCAGTAGCTCTTTTCCTCACTTCCAGTAAACTCGTTTCTTTTTGTTGGTGTTCTGTTTTTCCCTATAGCTAAAAGTTCACATGAAGAACTCTTTCTGTCTTGCTCATTATATCCCCCCATCATCCTCTGTTAGGGAAGTTTTGAGGACAATTAATATTGGAACGGTTTGTCAAGAGAGAGTATTCGGGTCTTGCCTCCATTAACTAAACCGCACACAGCCCAGAGATGTCCTGGTGATTTTATTCTAATTAGTATGCTTGATTCTTCACAGGATATTGTGGGCCACTGCGGAAGACGACGGAGCATGTACCGTGGCATTAGCGTGCGCTGCCTTTAACGCCACCACCTGTACGAACCGCTCGTCAGAGCTCGCTCCTGCGCAGATCTGTAAGCGCGTAACGCTCTCAGCAAACCTTGGTGTACCATCTGGAAAGCTCAGTATTGCACAGGTTTGTTCCCTTGGAAAAATACTGTAAATACTATAAAAACAGACACTAAATTAGTTTTAAGTAATTTTTCATGAACTCTCTTAACATTATTCCCTTCCATTTGTAGTTCATTTTTAATGTATTTATTTGTCTGTCCTCTGTCTTAACAAGTCGTTTCCTTATGAAAAGTGTAGGTTGGACTTATTTCGTGTTCCAGGGGAATAAAAAATTATTTGCAAAATAATCAGCCTTCTCACATTGTACTTCTCTTGCTGCTTCCTCTAATATCCAACATTAAAAATAACTACCATTCTGCATTGTCCTATTTATTTAACTTATCACTAGCTACTGCTACTGGCTTGTCATCAGTCTTGCCCAAGATCTTTATTTGGCTTAATTTAACAACCTTTTTTTCTTGTTGCTTCTTTCAAACGCCAGTCCTCTCCTGTCATATGTAATTTGTTTCTCCTAAACCAGCCAAATCATCAACATATCTAAAAAATATCAATCAGCCTATTTCAATTCATGCTAGTAACTTCACAATAGTGATGGTAACCACAGAGCACTGGAGACAGTTGTTTCTCTAGTTGTTGCGCAGCCTGATCTGACTGCCAGGTGGTGCAGATATTTAACCCCCCGTGAGTATCCGTCTTTCGCAACCCACAAACGTGTCTGCACCATCCCAGTAATTCCACCAGGGTTCCAGATACTTCATTGCTTTCTAGAAGCCATCTTGACAATACACTTCCTTAAATCTGTAAGAAAGTGTGTTTGCATTTGCATTGTATCACTATGCAATATAACACAGACCGTAACAGCGTTACACAAAGGTGCCTCTGGATGGTGGAATTAGCCATGAGCAGAGCTGGAAATGACCAAAATGGAGACATTTTTATAAAACAAAAAAGACAACCCTTCACTGTAAAAAAAGTAGAAGGCACTTCAATGAACTCTTTAATGATGGGCTAGACAAAGGCAAATAGCAAATGGACATTTTTGAGCTAGCTGAGTTGTTTGTGGAAGAATTATATCGTGAAGACATTCAAAAGGCAGCCAGAATCCTCAGGAGCAACCAACAACCAGTTGCTGACAATGTTTCCAGGGAATGATTTAAAACAGGAGATGATAAGCTAAATCAAAACCTTTGCTAATTAGTTGCATTGGAGAGCTGAAAACATTTCCAAATGAGAAACACAAAGCAGTCACACGATCAGCTGTTATAAACAAGTGGATGGTGCCTTCATCCCCATGACAATCCATCCGTCTTTGGTACGTTCATAGACATTTTCTAATTTTACCAAGTAAACTTGAAAATAAAAATGACGTTAACAGAAAAACAAGTCCAGTGTGTATCTAAAATTTTCATTTCATCAACCACTTTAACCTGTGCATCACATATCTATATTGGGAATAATTAAAATACAGTACACTGTATTACACTATCTCTGCTAAACAGGTGTGCCACTCGGAAGTGTCCTGAATAAACAGACTTTGGCATACCAGTATCTGTGTAGGACATACTATTCAGGATGCTTCATTTAGGACATTTCAGAAATGAGGCTGCTCACATCACACTGCTTAAGCAAGAATAAATGAAATACAAATACACCACATTATCATGCATAACATTATCAATACTTTAACTCCCCCCTCTATTTTTCCTAGTTAATAGGGGAAAAAAACCTACTTTTATTGATATCTAACATGCACTATCTAAATAATGTCTCTACAGAATGTAGACTGCTGCCCAGGGCTCTTTTATTTCACTGCTTAAAGCTAAAAGTAAAAGCATTTATGTCACCCTTTAGGTTTTGAAATCCCCATTAAGCATACTCTTTAGTATGAGAATCATGCATGAAAAGAACCATAATTTTTAACTTTATCTCCATTTTAAACTTTTGGTAGGATTTGTTAATGTAAGTATTATTGGAAAGAAAATACAGATTTATAACATTTCAGGCTGCAAGGAGTCAAAACATCTCTCACAACAATATTTAAGTACTGTTGATAGTGTTTTATTGTTCTCCCTGTCTGGCATGTAAATGTGAAATCTCCCTATTATGTCACCTTGCTTTTAACCCTTTTTTTCCATTCTTCCAGTCTTTTTGTGTAACTAAGTTTTTTCTTGACTCTTAACTAATCTCCTTTCCAGTCTTTCAGACAAGGGTAAAAAAATCAATGCTGTTCTAGACTGAGCTTTTCGCTGACTTAGCCAAATGACACTAATCACTGCTAGCCCACTTGCTACCTATCTGAGCATTTTTTTATTCATCTGCTTTACCTTTTTGCCCACCCTGGCACGCTGAGGCAGAATCTTCCTCTGCAGGTCCCGCTATGATGACAAGGAGCTCTTTGAGCCCCCCCTCATCCCCTCTATAACTCAACCTTTTCCATCACGTTATTTTTTTTGACCTAGCTTTCTAAGATGCCTCTTCCATGCTAGCATTTGTCAAATTATTAACTTCATCTTTAAATTCTGTCATGTCATTAATATAAATGATGTATACAAATAATGAATACTACTTCTAACATTAAATAATGGGATTCCCCTGTGTTAACAATGTAGCAGAAAATTATTATTTTATTTATACCTTTCACTGCACGTTTCTGAGATGATTTCTAAATGTTCAGCACACTCCATGGGGCGTACTAGTTTTCTTAATTGCCTTCAGTAAAGAACTTTGTCAAAAGCCTTTTGAAAGTCCAAATAAATTAGACCAAGCATTTCTTCCTCATCCATTATTTTGATGACATGTTCAAAGAGTTCTAACAGATCAGAGGTTTTCTTTCAGCAAAGCTGCCCTGGCTTCTTTCAGCAAAATTTAATCTAGAGTTTGCTCGTAATTCTATTATTGATGATGTATTCAATCCATTTAGCTAATACTCACACTTTACAGGCCAGTAGGATTATTCTAGTTTGTTGAAAAAAAGCCACAAAGCCAAAACAATAGCCAAATTTTAACACTCAGTTTTTCAATAGGCAATTAAGTGCTAGTAAAATTTGCATCAGCTCAGCCCCTTCAGTTCCTTATAAACCTTGTTTGTAGCCAATCAGCCATCTGATTCTGCTTTCTTTTTAGTCTTTAAATGTCTCTTATTATTTGCTTTAATTGCCTCAATTTAATATAATAACTCATTTCTACTACTTTATAAGTATAGATATTTCATTGCATTTTCTGTAGCAGAATCCATGTAAATAAATCTTTCAACTTCTCTGTAACAATTCCTTCTAAATCCACTCTTTAAAAAACAGCAGGTCTGCTGATATTTTCATGAGGTTTTCTGCTTCTGATGCAGCTGAAAAAAATCTTTGCAGTTTCTTTAATCTTCAGCTATAAGGTCTTCACACCGTCTCTTAGACTATACGTTTTCCATATTCCATTTTTCCTTCCACAATTTGTTTTCTATTTTAACAGCTACAATTTAACTGCAAGAGGATACATTTAGAGTCAAATAAATGCTTACCTCTCACAATTTTTCCCATGGATTTTAAAATATTTTTCTTAATAATCAGAGACTGAGTCACCATTTGAAATCCCATTCATGTGTTAATTCAAAGCATTGCTATAATTAATTTCAAGGTCACAAAAAGACACTCACATATCTACTTACCTTAATTACAAGGACTGACAATGGGACATCTAAATATTATCACATGCAGCAAAAATTTTGCAACTCAGATATAAACAGTGTCAAAAATATAATAAAAGAAACAGTATAAATCAATTTTTAAATCATATTTTTACACCAACTATTTTGATTAGGAATTGTTCACTCATGTACAGCTTTCATAATGTTTCATTTTTTGCTAGACCAAGCTTCATTTTTTTCCAACCACACATTCCATTTATATTTCTTACTGCCACAGACAATTAGAAGATATATTTTTGGATATTCTATAAAAGGTTCATTTACAATAATTTGATTTTACTAATTTCCTACCAGAATAAAACGATCCTAATGTTTCCTTTCTTCCAGAAAGCTCTGGCAGACTTTCCCCAGTCTGGGTAGGGTTTGTCCTGAAGCATCATATCAGTGACCTGGAGGGAAAGAAGAAAAAATACACGGTTAAACTGGTGTCACAAAAGAAAGTACTAACACAGACCTTAAGAACACTTTATGTATGACACACCTGCTTCCGTTCTGATAATTTTAATTGTTTGACAGCAGAAAAATAGTATCTCTAGTGTTACTTGCTGTCAAAATAGAGTATATTGACCTGCATATGTGCCCCTAAAGTGCACACAACTCCTTGAGAAACAAGGAAACCTGTGGAGATCCAAAGATAAGAAGAGAAGAGGAACTATTCTAAAAGTTACAGCAACCTACTGTACATAACTACGTTCCCCTATGGCTATGAAGCTTTCTGGTCCAGCCGGGGAGAGGGGACCCACTTTCCTGAGAGCAGCATTAGCAGAATTTCCACTCTTGAAATCAGAACTGCAGCCATGGAGTGCAAGCCTGTGAATTAAGCGCTATATGCCATTTATAATCTCCTCTCGCTTTCTGGTATCAGTAAGAAAAGCACACTTGGGACTAGAGACAGGAAAATCCCTTAAAAGTTGCACGAAATTTAAAAAGTATGAAATATTTATTCTCATTTTCATAATTCCTATCTAAAGAGACCATCTGTTTCTCTGTCCAGAGACTCATATGCATGCACCACTACTGGGTGGGACACAAAAGTAAAAATGACTTTCAGGTAAATGAGGGAGGTGAATACCCGTCAGGCACTTGCACCTTCGGGAAGCTGTGTTTTCATATCCATTTACTTCAAGTTAACTGTACTAAAAAGCACCGAAAGTTACATTACAGTAAACTCATCAATTCCATTTGCAAGAGATTCAAAAGAGTCAAAAACCTGCCCATAGGTAAAGATTAAGAAATAATTGAACAGATAAAGGAAATAGGGGTGAGCACCTGCTTCAAAATACAGATAAGTAAAACAAATTCTTACTATCTGTCATTGGTAGCAGTACACAGTGGAAAATTAGAAACCGTTTTGATTAGTCTGAAAATAATCCTTAATAAGATTTCAGAAGGAAATAACTTCAAATTGAAGACAAGTTTTCCACTACATTTATTTTGATATATAGAGTTTTTAAAATCCAGTTTACCATCCAGAGTGTGAGCTACCACTTTCAATCAACAGCATTAACAGTGTTTATCAAAAAGAACACATGGCCCATGATTAAATTAAAGCTACATATAAACTACATTCGACTTCTAAAGTCCAAGTCCATTTGGGGTTAAAAGTGCTCAGCATATTAGTCTGAAGGGCTGGGTCCAAAGGATAATGAATATGTTAAATAAATAGAAAAACACATTCTAGGATTTTATGATTTCATTATGCCTAGCCTGAAGAAAGGACAGATTATATCCTGAAATACCATCTTTACTATTTGTTTTATGTAGGTAATCTTTTCTCAGACCAGCATGCTGGGATACTTTTTTGTAAAATCCCTCTTATCTAAATAAATATTTTGATAAATATTTAATGCTGAACAAGACATCTGTAAAGATTTAATCCACTACTTTAGTAACACCTTTTTCTCTTAGGAAGAGTCTATGTAGTAATGAATTTTTGCAAAGAAGAACAGATATTTCGAGAGGTTTTATTCAATTTTCAAAATATTTTCTCCAGACACTTTCTAGGAAATACTTATTGTATTTGGTAGAAGGATGCAATCTGCTGCTCTATGACCAATTATTAGAGTCGCATGTTTCATAAAAATGACATTCCAGAAGGAGACATTTTCCAAGGAAAATGGCAAGACGAGGCAGGAAATGTTCTTTCTGATATCAGACAGTTGGTCTTTCATCTCCTAGCTTTGGCATTTATTTAAAGTCATATCACCAGATCAATGTCAGGTCGGTTGCAGCTAAATTGGCTGAAGCAGAGACAGTCATTAAAGGGATGCATTCCATAAAGAGAAATCCAATTACCTTTTGCATTAGAGAAATCAAATTCATTTTCTGGTTTGGTCAAGGACAGTCACTGTGGAAAACGGCTCACAGGAGAAAAGCACTCGACACTGTCATAGTGCAAATAAGTTTGAGATACGAACATCAAAACCTCATTGCTGCTGTTAGAATGATGTTTTTAGAAATAGAAAAAATTACAAATTTTAATTTAATTTGCACAACTTAGTATAAAGAGATGTGTGAGTGTGTATTTTTTGCTCTCTCTTTGTATTTCACAATGCGATTGCTGGCCAGCAAACATTTCACTCTGTTTCACAGGACTGTATTTAAAAACACTGCTGATACTCCGGAATAAAAAATAATTGATCACTTCAGCAATTCTCTGTATGCATGCATCTTACATAATCAAGATAAAATAGGGAAAGCCACTTACAATGTAATTAAGTAATGTATTTTTGTCTTGAACTAAGAGATGCAATATACTTTAATCAATTAATTACACTGCTTCAATACAGAAAGGAATGGCCCCTACGTACAGTGACTGTATACTCTTTCATTTTATTTAGTGTCTCATGAGAGAAATGGTTACACTGTATTAAAGTGCAGAACCAAAACTGCATAATACACGTTGTCTGACTTCTTAAGTTACACGAATGCCACAGCAAAATATTTTCATTAAAAATTAGCATGCCTTGTATATATTATGGAATCTTAGATTTCACTCTCCCCTGTAAAAATATGACTTTATTAACTACTCCTATTATTCATTTCACATTAACTATGAAGATAACTTATAATAAATTAATAGCAAAATGTTATCATTCCCATTTTTGTTACAGAAAAATAGATTATTGCTTTTGATATGATACCCTACAATCATTTCAAAAATGATGTCATATGACATAGAAGAAAGAACCCAGTATTCAAAGTCATATTCAGAGCAAGTAACTTACAGAGACAACAAGTGCAGAAAGCAAAATCATAAAAAATTCCCCCAAACCCCAACAAAACAGTAAGATACCTAAAATCCTGAGATATACTAAGTCTAGCAGTAAGACACCTTAAGGATCATTTATTCCTTCCGTGTAGCTGCTCTTTGAGCATATTGCTCAGGATGCTCTGCACATACTTTAGATCTCTCCTCCCTAGACAGTCATGTCAAACGATGCTACGTTGTACATCACAGGATCCTTCCCAGCAGAGGCAACGTCTGCAGCGGGAGTTTCAGGTAAGGCTAAGTATCTTTTCTATTAATAAGCTAACGGCAAGTGGAACTTTCTTTAAAAAAAGAAGAAAATGACCTAATACTTTGGTCATGCCTTCAAAGTATCTTCCAAATTCTTCACTAGCAGGAACTATGCTGTCATCTTCAGAGTGCAAACAGATCATTCCTGGAAAACCAATGCGGCATGGGCTGCTGGCCAAGCTGTTCTCATCTGCCAAATGGCATTTTAGAAACCTAGAAGTATAAAAGTACATCGAATAGTTTCATAGCAGCACTTCTCCACATAAGCTCCTGCAGAAACCGCATCCTGAAAGAGAAATGGACTCTGGACAAGCTCTCTAGGATGCGACGTATTCCATGCTGTAGCATTCATTAAGTGGAGACCAGCCCTAAGTGGAGATTTTCATTGCATTTTTCACATCAAAACAGTGTAAGAGCAGCCCTCCAGAATTAAACAGAATGTAGAAGAAGCCAAGATCCACAAGAAAAGCCTGGAAATACAAACCAAATGGTGAACTCTGAAATCTTTTTTATTGTTTTGATACACTAATGAGCAGTGAAAGGTCTAATGGACAGTAGGACTCCAACAGCTTATATCAGTAAGGAAGTTGTTCATACGCAACTACTCAGCCAGGAGGACAAGACGTCATGGTGCTATTGCTGGAAAATGGAGTAGTCTGAATAACTCTGCATTTGGCAAAATACATATATCTACCACTGTCACATACATGACTCAAATATTATAACTGTTCATTTTTTCTATTTTTATCATTTTGCAATTTCAAAATATCTTATTTTAAATCATAAACATCTTCATAAGTAGCACTAAATTAAATTAATTTGAAAGTCAGCCTTTAAGTAGTTCATAAGCAGCACTTTTCCACTCTCCCCAAACTCTTTACACAAGAAACGTTATTTTCAGTCCTGCAACTGAGGAATTTAATTGATAAGAATGAGTATCATAAATTCTAAAAGTTTTCAGAAATTGTAAGGATGCCATAGTGTCAGGGCAGGTCCGAGGGCAGTTTCCCAGGGCAGGTGCATGCACGTTCCTTAGTTTTGTGCAGCACAACGTTCCTCATCAAAAGAACCCGTTGACATCTTTTGCAAAGACTCAACGCTGCTTATGTGTTTCTGAAAAGTATGCATTTTTTTTCCAGAGTGGGGCTACATAAGGTTAAAGTAATTATGTTTCCTGAAGTCAGAGACTGTGAAGTCAATGAGAGCAAATGTATACCACTGAGTGCATACACTCTCTTTGCTTTGCTGTTATGTGCTTTTAGGTAAGAGCTATATATAGGTGTCCCACTAACTACATATCAATTCTTTATCATAGCTCCGTCTTCAAGCACTATACTACATCATGGTAATCATATACCAAACCAGGGAAATATTTAGTATTCAGTCATTAAAAGCTTCTATCCATCATTTTTGTCTTCATCTTCTTTGAGAACTTTAAAAACTGCAGAGCTGTTCACTTGTACAAAAATAACCTATATGGATAATGCTTTTATGCTTCTTTCATCTGGATGTTAAGGAGAAAACTGTCTTCTGTGGATCATACCTCAACACTTCCATGGCTTACACAATGATAATACGAAATGCCTCCTTTAATTATGAAATTGTTTTGGCAGTTGAGCAGAAGTGTTGAAAACTTCATTACACATCCTTCAGAAATAACTGTTAATTTATTTTAATCCACTCTGCTGCATTTGGGAATATACAAAATGTACAAATATTTGAAAACAAATGTAACAAATATTTGCACTTAGGCTTACTGATCTATAAGGGGGATGATATTTTTCAAGCTAAATATTAAGTCAGCTGTAAATACGCTGCTAGATTCTAAAGTAGTTTTGTCTGCTTTCTACATTTTTGAACATTCCTAAT